CCCTGCGGGCCTCTCACGAGCCGACGCCTGCGGGGAGGCGTGAGCCCGGGAGGGGCAGGGAAGGGAATGCCGCGCCGAGCCCGGGCCTGCCTCTGCACTGCGCGCAGCTTTCTCAGGGTCCACCCCGCGCTCTCTCACGGCAGTCCGTGGTTCCCTATCACTAGTTTTTGTTTGTTTCCTTTGGCGTGAAAACTCAGTTACAGGAAAAAAAATTAAGGAACATCTCTTAAGGATACCCGCATCCCTGGCCGATTTTTTTTTCTTTTTTTCTTGTTTGTTATGGTGCCTTCCCGCAAGCCTCCTGGGAGGAACCCCTGTGACCCTCTGTCCGTCAGCGACTGCTGCTCTCCCTCTTATCCCTAGACAGAGTTGTGAAAGGCAAGTCCTTGGGGGAGTGATTTATCTTAGAACAGCGATGATGACCCTCCACGCCAAGCGAGCCTGTTACCCAGCCTCGCTGCTTTACACTGCAACCCCTGTGCTGGGAGGGAGCAAAGCGGGCGCGGTGACCTCCTAGCTTTCACTAAGGGCCTGTTGCAGACTCCTTAACAATACCACAAAGAAGCATAGCCAAGCGTCTGGAGAGTTCAGGCATTAGGTGTATTTTAGAGAGAGGCACTTCCAGAAGCACCTCCTATGGATCTGAGCTCAGAGAACTGGTTAAGGTTAGCTGCGCCTGACAATCCTTCCAGCCCAGCAGTTTTGTCAGGATTCCCTTGAGTGTCTTAAAATTCTGGCTAGAGGAAATAGTATCACACTGCAGCGAATCTAAGGCTCCATTACATTAAGATACAAATTCTTGAATGTGCATGAGAATGCATAGATTATAAGATACACTCCCAATTCTGAGATTCTTAAGATATTTTTTTTAAATGTGGTTTTTAGAATCACTGAAGTGCAGCAGCTACCACGGTGCCAGGTACCTATGTATTTTGTTTTGCTTTGTTTTCACTGAACCTTGTAGAGTCTTGTGTTGGTGAGGAAACAGGTGGTTAAGTACCCTGTCCTGGGTAGGAGGGATGGGGTGCTCCTTTGCAGAGAAGCAGGGTGCAGACCACTCAGACTGCCTCCACCCACAGCTCTCAGTGAATTTCGATGGTTTAGGGCAGGGAGGGAAGGAGGTCGCAGCCCTGCATCAGCATGAAAGCAGAGCCACCCTGCTTCTCAGTTATCAGGGTAATTGAGTAGAGTAAAAGTGAACGTGGCCTCTTCTTGCTCTGAATGGCTGCCTGGGTATCTCCCCTTGACCTGCTTTGCCTCTCTACATGGTGTTCATCTCATACAACCTCTCCTGCTCTGAGTGGTCCTAGGAGGACTGAATCCACTCCTGTGTCTGTGTCCCTTGCAGCTTTTTCTACTGTGGGTCCCTAAAAAGAGGACATAAGTCAGCAACAGTGTCTTGGAATGACTCTTTTAGGGAGAAGGGGGAGTAGAGAGGACAGAGAGACCTGGTGATGAATTAGGGGCCAGGTGGAAAGGCCAGTTCCTACGGTGGTAGCTGCCCCGGGATAGGAGTGGATGGTGCGTGTAATGTGGTGGTGCCCTGTTGGTGCTTAGTAAGTGTTCACTGCATGAAGGTGAGGGATCAAAGGAGAAACCATTCCAGCTGCGGTTCCTCCTCTGTGATCTCACCCCCCATTCCAGCCATGACCCCTTTTTTGCCACACATATTCTTACAGTTAGTGCCAAAAATCAGCTGCTTGGAGCTTGGCCCTTCAGAAATGCTATAGAGAAATAAGCTAAGTCAGTGGCCTCCCTCTTTTGCCTGTTTCTGCCCTACAGGGATGCCGGAAGGGCCGTCTGTGAGGAAATTTCATTATTTGGTCACCCCCTTTGTGGGCCAGCAAGTGGTCAAGACAGGGGGCAGCAGTAAGAAGCTACACCCTCCGGACCTCCAGTCTCTGTGGCTCCTGGACACCCAGGTGAGTTCTTCCTGAGGCTGGCTCCTGTTCTCAGGTGTGCTTGCTCTCCTGGAGTCTGTCCCAAGATGTCTCATGTCACCTCCACGAGCCCAGGACAGCCACACTAGGACTCCACACAGGTCCTCTTCTGTCAGTCTGATGTTTCTCAGCTGGAAGTGGGTCCTGAGGAACTATGAAGAACACACACACAGGATCAGCAGATGGCATAATGGTGACATTGCTGGACTCCCATGTAATTGACCGTGGTTCAGGTCCTGGACCTGGTTGTTTAAACCTCATGCCAGGCACGTGTGCATGTGTGTCCAAGATCCCAAGAGGAGAATGGAGGAGAAGGGATTGTGGCATGGCTATCCCTCCCAGGGAAGGGGTGATTTTTCACTTTCTTTCTCTTTCTCTCTCTGTATCTCTGATGAGTACACACACCCTATAACAAAAATCTCTTTAAAAAAAAAAAAAAGAAGAGAATTCACACACGTAAGCTGGAAACCCTGATCCAGAGAGTAGAGAGTCTGCTTCTTCCAGCTGTGCCTGATGCTCACCTTGGGAACCATGTTCGATGACACAGGGTCAACAGGGAAGAAGGAAAGCATGACCTTCAGATCAAGATTCAGACCTGGCCCTTCTTGGCCCTGGGTAGAAGTCAGAATTCCCTCCAGGGGCTCGTAGACCCTTTGTGGTCCTGCTCCAAATCTATCTTCTGATCATATTGAACCACCTGTAGCTCTTCTAGTAGTCTTTCTGCCCTTGGCTTTGACATGCTGTTCCCATGCTTGGACAGATCTTCCTTTTCTTCCCAACTTTTTCCTCTTCCCTGTCTCATCAGTTTACCATGGTATTTCCTAGTCTTTTCCCCCCCAGATTCTACTTAGAGATCACATCCTCTGAAAACCCTGCCAGGACTGCTCTAGGTTGAGTGACAGACATCTTCTCTGTGCTTCTAAGACAACCTGTACTTCCTCCCGTTAAATCCTTATTACTGGATTTGTCCTGCCAGTAGGGTGGTAGAGACAGATAAATGGGGCAGGGGCAGTGTCCTCATTGGTATTGTGTCCCTAGCATTTCTCTGAGTGCCCAGCACATAGGTAGGGCATGGATGTTTGCAGAATAACTAAAAGGGCTCTGTTGATTCTTGGCTCTGTTTATTAGCTATGTGCGCTTACATAAGTTCTTTAATCTCTTAACTCTAGTTTCTTTGAATGTAAAATGGGGATAAGCTGTTTAAACTGTCACATTAAGTAGGTTCTAGGCCTGGTACATATGGGTACTTGGTAAAGACTAGTTCTTTTTAATACTGTGCCTTTCACACACATACACATATACACATACACACATTCTCCATAAGTTGATACATCTGGAGACTGACATACAGAGAAGGGAGTACTTAGCCTGAGTTTAGGTAGCACCCACGTTTAGGGAGTGAGTAGAGGTCAGAGAGGAGCCCAGGCCCCCTGACCTACAGTCAGTGGCTTATTTGTAGAGACTGTTCTGCGAGGTTTGCAGGGAGCAGAATTGCACCCCTTGTCCCTGGATCACTGGCGGTTAGCATGGTGCCTGTCATAGAGCTAGCTCTCAGAGAATACTTACCAAATGGATGAACGTACAGGAAGATGTATCCAAGGGAGCTGGAGACGGACCTAGGAGCTGGTTTCCCAGTAAACAAAGGCAGAAGTCTGTGTCGTGGATGGCCCTAATAGAGAAACCCAGAGGAGGTGGCCTAGGGGAACTACTTGGCAGTGCCTGCTCCTTTCTGTCAATTTCTACCCCTGGGAACTTAGGGTTGAATAGGGAAGGTAAGACCTGTATTTGCACAGGAAAGACCTTAAGTAATGCTAAGTGGAGAGGAATGGAACACATAATTGGTCCAAAGGGTCTTGACACAGAGGAAGGGGGTCTTTGTGGCCTGGAGATGTTATGTAGGAGGTGGACTTGAGTTGGCTCCTGAATGCTGTAAGATTTAAAGGAACCGAAAGGAAGAGAAACAGCATCAAGAGCCTCTTGGGGAACTGGGCTTGTAGTGTAGTGGCTCATTGCTATGTAGAGGGAGCCAGATCCCACATGGCCGACTGCTGTTTGAATCCTGGCCCCAGTGGCAACATGCTGAGTGAGTGTGTGTGCACACATGCCCAAGAAACAGAGGCACAAGTATTGCAGTGTAACTGGGTCCTTATGAGGGATGCCTTCTCTCTGTCTCTCTCTGGCATTAAAAACAAAACAAAACAAAACAAATGACCCTGTTGGGAGTGCTGTCTCTCTGTCTCTGTCTCTCATTTAGCTAGATCTATTTTATTGCTAATCTAATTCTTCCACTACTTCTAGTCACTTTGGAAACTAGGTGATAACTCCCCACATCACTGGAGCAAAGAGCAAAAGTTAGTTCCCAAATACTCACTTGAGAAAGCTTCAGGGGAGAGGTAAAAAGGGAGACATTTGCAGTATGGTAAATGTCTGCATACGGCACTTCCTCTTTCTAGGTCTGTAAGGCTTAAATCTATGTTTATTTTCCCCCCCTAGGTCCATGGAAAGAAATTATTCCTTAGGTTTGATCCAGATGAGGAAACAGAGACCCCTGACCACAACCCACTGCCAGAACCCCTAGGAGAAGGATTGCAGAAGGAAGATGCTTCATGCCAAAAGCAGGCCATAGGGCCCAATGGGCTGAAAATCTCTGATGGATCCTCAGAGCTTGTCGTTCCCAAGGCAGATGATGGTTTGGAGTATTCCCAGGGAGATGCCCCTGCAGGAGGTGCTGAGCGCTGGCTGGAAGTCCGCTTTGGCTTGTTTGGCAGCATTTGGGTGAATGAGTTCTCCAGAGCGAAGAAAGCCAACAAGAGGGGTGACTGGAGGGATCCTGTTCCAAGGTAACAGTGTGTTTGGCTAGGCCTTTACAGGGTCTGCAGTATTCATGTGTGTCCCTGCAGTGGCAGGGTATTCATATCACTTAGGCAGATATCCAGCCTGTTACCCAGGACTTAGCTGTCGAGGAGAGAGGGGACACTTCTTCTACTCTAATAGAAGGTGGAAGAAAAGGGACCAGCAGATGATGTAGTGGTTACATCGCTGGATTCCCACATGACTGACCACAGTTTGAGTCTCAGACCTCCTAGCTTCAATCTCATGCCAGGTACGTGTGCGTGCATGCCCAGGATCCCAAGAGAAGAATGGAGGAGAAGCCACTGTGGCATGGCCATCCCTCCTGGAGTGTGATTCCTTATTTTTCCTCTTATTATCTCTGTCTATGTCTATATTTAGGATTGTTTCCTCCCTGTCAATTCTCAGAGGAGTAATTGCTGGTCAAAGAGAATGAACTATTTTTATGACTGTCCATTTTTATGGCCTTAACAAATTAGTAACTTAGCTGACTTCTCTCTACCACTAGGTCATTTGTGTACTTTTATCCATTTATTGAAGCTTTTGGATATTAAGTTCATTAAACTTAATGATAGGTTTGCTAGTACTGTTCCACATCTATTCTGCATCTTTTGACAGTGTTTATGATGCCTTTTGGCATAATTTTTTTTTAGTTTTGCTATAGGGTGTGTGCACTCACTACAGAGAAGGAAAGTGAGAAATCATTCCCAGGGGATATGGCTATGCCACAATCCCTTCTCTCTTCTCCTCTCGGGATCTTAGGCAAGCACATACATGTACATGTGTTTTTCACACTGCCAGGTCTGGGACTCAAACCACACAGTCAGCCATGGGGGATCCAGTGCTTTAACTTCTGCTCTACCTGTGATCTAGCTGTAGCAATGGGAGCTGTGGGGACGTGATCTGACTGCAGTATGGAAGCTGTGCGTAAGTATGATTAACTATATTGTGGCAACTGTGTGTATTCACAATCTATTTTTTCTTCCCAGGTTGGTCTTACACTTTGGTGGTGGAGGCTTCTTAGCATTTTATAATTGTCAGATGTCTTGGAGTTCTTCCCCAGTGGTCAGACCCACCTCTGACATCTTGTCTGAAAAGTTTCATCGAGGACAAGCCTTGGAAGCTCTAGGCCAAGCTCAGCCTGTCTGCTATACACTGTTGGACCAGAGATACTTCTCAGGGTTAGGTATGGCTGATGGGAAAGGAGCCCATGGAATTTCTTAATAGAAAGTCACACTTTGGGGCCAGCAGTAGTGTGGTGGTTAAGGTGCTGGACTCCTACATGGCTGACCACAGTTCAAGTCCTGGACCTGGTGGCTTGGTTTTTCACTTGCCTGCACTCTCTTTCTCTCTGTCTTTCTTTGGTGAGCACAGATGCCCTATAGCAAATTAAAATAATAATAATAATAAAGTTAAATAAATAATTTTTAAAAATATTACACCTCTGGGAGCGATAAGGTCTGAGACCGATCCCAGCTCTCCCAGTACTGTTGGTCTTAAGGTGATTTCTTAACCTCTTGAGCTTTACTTCCCTTGTCTTTAAACTGAGAGTTCCATTAGACCATTTCTAACTTCTCTCTGGACTTCAGAATTCATACCCTAATTGTATTATCAGTTGTGAATGTCCTGACAGCTGCACTAGGGTGGGGCCTCCTGAAGGGCAGGGGTTCTATCTTGTGGATTCTTCTGTCTTCCACCGCCTAGTGCAGAGCTTGGCACATAGGCGCCCTCGTCTGATTAGTGTCTGCTGGGCACCGAAAGCCATATAGTTTGCTCACAGAGAGTGGTGCATTCGCTATTGGATGCCTCTCTTGGGTGAAGGGAGCTTTCTGCTGGTCAGAGCACAGATATGAGCCAGGTCTGCCTCAGGTTCTTAAAAACATGAGGCTCTTAGAAGAACAGGTTCCCTTTTCTCTGTTCAAGTAGCCTGAGCAGTGAGGCTGTGATCATTTTGAGGTAGGGAGAAGAGCTGAACAATTTGAAAAATATGTAATGGCTAATTAGCTGAATTCTGAGAGCATACTGTTGTTATTATCCTCAGCAGGGGAATAAGTGCAGCTAGATAGGGCTGCTGAAGCAATCAGGCAAGTTGATGATGACAAAGTCACTTCCATATCCAAGGTGTGACTGCCTGCTGCAGGCACAACTTACTCATGAGGGTCAGAGGAGGCCTGGTGGTTCACCAGGCAGTGCCTTTGCAATTTCACGTTAAAACCATGGGAATCCTTGTGTCCTAAAGAGCAAGGAGGCCTCCAGAGTAGCTTTTTGGGTATATATAATAAGAGTTAACAATATAATAAAGAGTAATAATAGCCAGTTTTTCAAGTGACTTTAATGAGCCCGGTGCATGGTTTCATTTTTGCTGCTTTTCCATAGAATCCTTAACTAGATTTCCCTTTCTTTAGATGAGCAAAGTACAGTAAAAGAAACATTGCTAGCAAGTGGAACACTGGAGATAAGAATCCAGGTGCTTTCCAGGGAGTTTTGGAGAGAAATTTTGTGTGTAGCCAGCAGCATGATTATGAAGGTTTTGTAAAGAACAGTAATTTCTTTATTATTATTTTTTTTTTTGGAGAGGTTTTTGCTATAGGGCATGTACACTTGCCAGAAGGACAGAGAGAGACAGACAGACAGAATGCAAGAAATCATCCCCCAGGGGATGATTGGGTACGCATGCACACGTGCCCGGTTTGAGTTTAAGCCACTGGGTCTGGGAATCGAACTGCGGTCGACTACATGGGAGTTCAGTGACATAGCCATTACGCTAACTGCTGGTCCCGAGCAGTAATTTCATTCGTCCATTCATTCCAGACCTACCAAACACTTGCTGTCTACCAAGCTCACCTTGACTCCTTAAGGAGATCATAGTGTAATGGCCCAGCAAGCACAGACTCAGTTCCCTGTAAAGGTCAGTTGTGATAAATCCCTCGAAGAGGTTGAATAAAGAGCACTCACTGTTGGGGCATTTCGAAGCGAGTTATTGGTGCATGAAGGAGGATCAAGGCTGGATTCACAGAGCATGAGGCAAGAGTCGAAAAATAAAAGAATTCCTCCTTAACACTTTATAAGCATAAAGCATAATGGGTATTATGCTTGTCATTTTAAATAATAAGAGTTAATATTGATTGAGAACTCTTTATGTACCAGCTACTGTGCTCAGTATTTCTTGGTTCTCATTTACTGCTCACAAAAACCAAGTGATTCCTGTTTTACAGATGGGGAAACTAAAGGTTTAAGAAGTGAAGGAACCTGCAAGGTCACATGAGTAGGATCTAGTTAAGTTGGGATTTAGATCCAGGCAGTCAGGTGCCAAAGCCCTTTTTGGTAACTTCTTTGCCATGCATGGATTTTATTTCATTTCAGCTTCATAACACCTTTAAAGCTAAGAATTGTCAAACCCGTTTTGCAGACAGGGAGAGTGACTTAGAGATTGCCAATTTGCCCAGGAACCCTTAGTACATGGCAGAACTGATTCCAGGACTTCTTGGAATGCCTCTATCATACCAATGCAGTTTGCTTTGGTAATATTCGGCTGGTTTCATTATACTGTATGTCCTTTCCCTCCATTATCCTCTACATGCTTTATTTCAGGGAACATCATTAAGAATGAAGCCTTGTACAGAGCTGGGGTCCATCCCCTTTCTCTTGGCTCCCACCTGAGTCCGTCACGTCTGGAGGCCCTTGTGGATCACGTGGTGGAGTTCAGTACCAACTGGCTGCAGGACAAACTCCAGGGTGAACAACAGCACACGCAGGTCTACCAGAAAGAACAGTGCCCTTCTGGGCACCAGGTCATGAAGGAAGCATTCGGACCCCCAGGTGGGTTCCAGAGGCTCACCTGGTGGTGCCCTCAGTGCCAGCCCCGGGTGCCACCTGAGGAGCCTGAGCAGCTCTAGCTCTTCTAAGGAACTCGGGAACCTTCTCTACAGAACCTGGCACTTTGGAAACAGTGATTCTTAAGTGTCCAGAAAGGAGAGTATGGCAGGGATGGGGTCTGGGCACAGAGGGGCTGGGGAGATGTCAGTATTGTTGATGTTCATCACACTGGAGTGATGTCTAAGGCAGTTTTCATAGAGTTAGATTTTTGCCCTTTTCTGGTGAATTCTCTTTTTTTATTCTACTATTGTGAATGATGAGAAAAATCATGACAATGGATAAGAGGAGAACCTCCTGGAACGATAGTGGAGCAGTGCATACAGATGCCTGTGGGAAATAGCCACGCTTCCAACATTGCTTTGTAGGTGTTACGTTTTGTTTTGATTTTGTTTTTTAAATATTTATTTTTAAGGGCTTACATTCTTTGTTCTCCTGGACAGACCCAGGGAGGAGGATAGAGTAGCTTGAGGAGTACTGTGTTTCAGCCACCTGTCATTCTCATGGGATGAGGCATCAGTGGTGACAGGACCTGGCTGCCTTCCCAGTATGCTCGGTGGCCTTTAGAGAAGAGCTACATGTTTACCCTTAAGTTGATATATTTGTAACTATGATAGGCTGAACAATTCAGTCCATTGGGTGGTTGGCCTTAGTCAGATGAAACTAGAACAGTGACATGAAAATGAAGCTCTTTATTATTTTATGTTGTCATTTTTATTTGGCAATAAAGGGTCTTAAATTGTAAATAAGTGAACTTGTTGTGAAGGTGGCTGTCTGGCTGTCATGGTTTGGATAATGGTTTGGTTCCCAAAGTTTCACATTTGGGACTTTGGTGTTGGGAGTAGTGAGGCCTAGTGGACAGTGATTGCATCACGGAGGCACCACTCTCATGATGGATTAATGACGTCTTGTAATATCTAGTGCATTCCTACTCAAGCAGTGAGATTTTACAAGAGCTGGTTGTTATACAAGAGCTGCCTGTCACCCTCTCTGCACTTCTGTCAGCCATGTTGTAGGCTAGCCTGATGCCAGGCCTAAGCCCTCAGACTTTCTTAACTAACAGAATTGTGAGTCAGTAAGCCCCTATTCCTTTATAAGTCACTCTGTCTCAGGAATTTCTGTTTGCTAACAGAAATAGAGGACTAAGATAGTGGCCTGGGGTTTCTGTGGTGGCCTGATGAATGCACTTCAAAGACCAGAAGAAGCAGGTGAGTGCATACCTGCTCTTCTGCCCCAGATGAGCCTCACAGACATGAGATTTGGCCCAAGTTGAGCAGAAATGGACTTTCATTTCCATTACCACAGCCTCTGGCATAAAGGAGGTAGTGATTTATGGGAGTAAAATTGAAAGCAGTGGCTGATACTGCTGCCTTTCTTCTAGTCACGTCTATCTGAAACTATTGAGAGTTGTCAGCAGTAGGAAAGCCACTTAAGGCAGACTGATTCTCCGTGTAGTAATTAACATGTATGAGTGCTCCAACCTGCACCGAGTGCTTACCACTTAGCCTAGTTCTTGTGCATAATCTACAAAACAACCCATGATGATAGTTATGCTATGAAACTGTCTTTGTTTTGTAGATGAGAAAACTGAAGTCTAGAGCAGCTCAGGTACTTGGTTAAGATCACACAATTCTCGGGACCAACAGTTAGCGTAATGGCTATGTTGCTGGACTCCCATGTAGTCAACCGCGGTTCACGTCCTGGACCCGGTGGCTTAAAACTCACGCCAGGTGCGTGTAGGTGTGTGCCCAAGATCCCGAGAGGAGAATGGAGGAGAAGGGATTGAGGCGTGGCCATCCCCCCTGGGGGGTGATTTCTCGCTTTCAGTCTCTATGTCTCTCTGTCTGTCTGTCTGGCAAGTGCACGTGCCCTATAGCAAAAACCTCTCCAAAGGAAAAAAATATTTATCACACAGTTCTCAAGGGCCAGAACCATTGCCTTAGTCAGCTTAGGTTGCCATGACAAAGTAGAATGGATGACTTAAATTTAAACTCACAGTAATAGAGGCTGGGATTTCCAAGGTCAAGATGCTGGCTGATTTGGTTATCTAGGAAGGCCCCCCTTCCTGCCTTGCAAGACGGTAGCCTCCTTCCATGATGGTGGGGAAGAAGATGGAGAGAGAGAGAAAGAGAGTGCTTTGGTCTTTTTCTCTTACAAAGATATTAATCCCATCATGGGATTATTTCATGACCTTGCCCTCATGACTTCTTTGAGCCCTAATCACCAACCAAAGGCCCCATCTCCAAAACCATCACATAAGGGGTTAGGGCTTTGACATAGGAATTTTGGTGGGATGCACACATTCAGTCCATGACAGCACATTTTTTTTTTTTTAAATTTTTGCCATAGTGTGCATGCACTTGCCAGAAAGAAACAGAGAGAAGAAAAGTGAAAAATCACCCCCTTGGGGAGATGGCCACAGCACAGTCCCTTCTCCTCCATTCTTCTCTTGGGAGTGTCAGGCAAGCACACACACATGGCTGACACGATTTTCAAGCCACTGGGTCAGGACTCAAACTGGTCAGCCATGTGGGAATCCAACACCTTAACCACCATGCCACCTGCTGCCCCCAGCACGTACATTTTACCTACGACATTGCAGTCCCTTCTATCAGGCACAACAGCTGCGGAATGGAAGTTGACCAAGTCCTCTCTGACATAAAGCTGAAATGTTAGGGGTATGTCCCTCAAGGTAGTCAAGTGTTCCTTTCATCCAGCAGCTCTGAAAATGTGATCCAAGGAAGAATCTGCACTCACGATGTCTCACAGAAGAAGGGTGACATTTGAGAAACACTGCCTCCTGCAGTTCCCTCTTGGAGCTCCATAGAACTCACAAAGACTCCTAGAAATCCCACAGTAAAGCAAAACTGTTAGCTTTTGCTTCACCTGGTATTTCTAAACCCAATTTTACCTTGAAACCCATTTCTGTGTATTGTTCCTTGGAACACAGCAAAAAATGCTATTAGAATTCTTCAAATCTAAAACTTTCTTAAGCATCATTTACATCCAGATGCTCCAGTCACTGTCCATATGTGCTTGCTGGGTGACTGTCTTTTCAGCCCACTGTCTGTGAGCAACATCAGAGATTCAGTCATGGACAGCCCTATATCTAAATCAGAACCTAATTTTTTTCACTTCCTTGTATCTGTCTACTCTAAATTCTTCAGCTTTTCATGTGTCCTTGGTGTCACATGTTTACACATCCTACACTCTGTACCTTAGATATTTCTTTTATGTGCCCTTAGATGTCTCTTCTATGTGATAAAAGCTCTGATACCTTTGGCTTAGGCTATGTATTAGCTGGAATTGCTGTAACAAAATGCTGAGTGGTTTAAACTGAGGAAGAAGAGCAGGTGCTGTGTGGGCAGTTAGCAGACCTGGAGGTGTGTTAACTTGAGGTGCCTGTGCACCACTTGAGATGTGGGGAGAATGTAATGAGGATGTAGCTCTTCCTCCCCCCACCACCATGTACAGGAGGGACACAGAGTGGGCAGCTCTCCTCACAGGAGTGACGGCCAGCTCAGGAAGTCAGCAAGGGTGAGCATGGAGCAAGGGTGAGCATGGAGCAAGGGTGAGCATGGAGCAAGAGGAAAAAGGAAGACCGCAATGGGATCTTAGTGACGGTCTTGTGTTAAAGGGGTGAGAATAGAAAGAGAAGCCAGCCAATGAGACATCAAATGTAGGAGAGGGAGAAAAGCACTTGCAGGTAGAAGCCAGTGGTCACTAATGTGTCTCATGTTGGGATGAAGGAGGAGAAAGGTTGAAAGAGGCCTTTTGGATTTGGCAGTTCATTGGATCTAAGGTTGTGATGACCAAGAGAGCTGCAGCAGTGTAAAGTGATGGGGAGCCAGGTGGGAGGAAATAGAATGATGAGGGTGGTCTGCTCTTCAGGAAGTTTGACCTTGAAGAAAATGAGAATAACAAGGTCAAAGAGGAAAATTATTTTTTAAAGGATGGGTGTAATATAGGGATTTGTATAGGATTAGTTGACAAGAAAACAGTAGAAGGGGAGAGTGAAAAGAACACACCAACACAAGCACTTAAAGACGATGATGAGTATGGGGAAAGAAAGAATAGATCCTGAGAAAGTTTTCTGAATGAGGTCTTTTAAGGAGCCAAAGAGACTGAGAAGGTTTGTAACAGTGAATTTATAGTTACTTTGGGGGGAACCAGCAGTTAGTGTAATGGCTATGTCGCTGGACTCCCACGTAGTCGACCGCAGTTTGCGTCCCGGACCCAGTGGCTTAAAACTCACGCCGGGCGCCTGTGCGTGCATGTGTGCCCAAGATCCCGAGAGGAGAACGGAGGAGAAGGGATTGCAGCGTGACCATCCCCTCTAGGGGGTGATTTCTCGCTTTCTGTCTCTCTGTCTCTGTCTGTCTGGCGAGCGCACACGCCCTATAGTGAAAACCTCTTCAAAAGATTAACTCGCAATTGAAATTTGTCAAGATCAGAATGGTAGAAGATCAAGAGAGCAAAGAGAATCCTTATTTATTTCATTTATTTTTATTATTACTCTAAAATTTACGATAGGGTGTGTGCACTCACAGGAGAGAAGGAGAGAGAAATCATCACCTAGGGGGCATGGCCATGCCATAGTCCCTTCTCCATTCTTGTCTCGGGATTGGAGGCATGCATGCACACACCCCCAGCATGTTTTTAAGGGAAGGGTTGTAGAGCCACATTGGAGACCCAGGGTATTAGTGAAATTTCCTGATTTTTCCTGCAGTATATAGTAGCTTAGGATAAAAAACAAACAAAAAAAAAAACAACAAAGAAAATAGATACTGGATTAACTCGCAATTGAAATTTGTCAAGATCAGAATGGTAGAAGATCAAGAGAGCAAAGAGAATCCTTATTTATTTCATTTATTTTTATTATTACTCTAAAATTTACGATAGGGTGTGTGCACTCACAGGAGAGAAGGAGAGAGAAATCATCACCTAGGGGGCATGGCCATGCCATAGTCCCTTCTCCATTCTTGTCTCGGGATTGGAGGCATGCATGCACACACCCCCAGCATGTTTTTCAAGCTGTCAGGTCCAAGACTTGAACTGTACAGTTGGCCATGTGGGGTCTACAATCTTAACCACTATGCCACCTGTTGACCCCACCTTATTTTATTTTTAAAATTATAGATACCAAAGATTCAAGCAAGACAAAAGTTTATAGAGTAAAACCTGAAGGAACAACCTTTGTGCTTACTTTATCTTTCTCCTTTCTTTAGCAGAATCTCAGGAGTGGACTTACTTATGTTTTTGACTTCAGTGATTTGTAGAAGTCTGAAGTCTATAGAATGGGGAAAGCAAGAACACCTAACAGTGGAGTTGTAAGGATTGTCATACACAGCAAGACTACATTGTAACTCCATGGAATGGGTTCTGTGGGGAACAAGTGGGGAAAGGGTAACAGAACCCGTAGCTATCATGCTTCTCTCCAGGATGTGATTTATCATGGAGGCGGGTGCTTAGCACAGAGTTTTAGGTTAGTCCTGAAAGGAGGTAGGCAACTGGACTGAATGAGAAAGGAGAGGGAATGGTGGTACAGAATCAGCAGGGATGGGGGGAGGACTCCTGTTGTTCATGTGCCTGTTGGATGTAAGAAACTTTTTGCTGATAGGATTGGGACAGAGGGGAAGGGAGACATGGAGGATGAATTCAGGTTTCACTTAAAAAGAGGTGGGGTATTTGGACTTGACAGATTCTAAGTGAAAGATTTATTTATATCAAGAGTTGGAATCTTATGACAC